TGAATCACTCTAGAAAGTGTGCAGAACTTCCAGGCATCCCAAATTATGAGACTTACAAATAGAGTTAATTCCAATGTAACAATGGTATGTATACCTAGTAATAGCTCTGGAAGATTCAAGGCAATGCAAGATAGTTGTAAAGATACAAGAAAGATATAATTTCTTTTAGATGTATGCACTATATAAGTACCCAGAAAAATGTACAGTAGAATAGAAAAAATTCAGAAATATAGAAGATGGTAGGATTTGTAGAAGTTTGAAGTATGAATGATTAGTTCTACAGAGTGATATGAACAAAGTAATCAATATGTCGGAGTAAATTGTTAAGAATGATGGATGTAGCATCTGGCTAGGAGTGACTTGAATAAAGCTGACAAATGTGATATGTGAATGTTTGTAAGTTGAAAACAAATGGGGCCCAGATAGGTTAGCTTCTTACTCCCAACCAAAGAGAAACCTACAAGTTTTGCCCCAGATGGGAAAGATACAGCTCAGTTATAGATTTCCCCCCACTTTTTTTTTTATTATCAGCATATTGTAAGTAAAAGTATAAATCGAATTTTGAATCTAAATACTTTTATAAGGTGCTTTTCCTCAGCTAGGCGAAAATCTTCATGAAAAATAATTATAAGTATAGTATGTGTTCATTGTAGAAAAATGAAAATTAGTTATGTTTCCCAAAGCTTAAACCACTGTTACCATTTAGGTTAATTCCATTCTCATGAATTTTACATGGTCTCAGCCTCTCTCTAGATATAGATACATGATGTACTATGTATGAGTATAAATATATACTGTGCATACATATATGTATGTGTTAGTATGTATCTATGTTTATATAGAATGAGATTATTATTTTTAAAAATATTTTTTACTGTTTTTTATTTATTCTTGAGAGAGAGAGAGAGTAAGACAGTATGAGCAAGGGAGGGGCAGAGTGAGAAAGTGACACAGAATCCGAAGCAGACTCCAGGCTCTGAGCTGTCAGCACAGAGCCTGATGTGGCGCTCAGACTCATGAGCTGTGAGATCATGACCTGAGCCGAAGTCGGACCCTCAACTGACTGAGCCACCCAGGTGCCCTGAAAATAGAGATTATTTTATATGAAATGTTTTATAGCATGTTCTTCACTTAATATTATGAACACTTTTCCATATCAGTAAAATTCTAAAGTGTCATATTTAGTGACTACATAGCATTCTGTACTGAGATTATCCCTAAGTTAATTTCAACATTTACTTAGCATTTTTATTTTATTTTATTTATTTATTTGTTTTTTTAAAATTTACATCCAGGTTACTTAGCATATAGTGCAATAATGATTTCAGGAGTAGAATCCAGTGATTCAAGCCCTACATATAACACCCAGTGTGCTCGTTCCAACAAGGATCCTTCTTAATGCTCCTTGCCCATTTAGCCCATGCCCCTACCCACAACCCCTCCAGCAACCCTCAGTTTGTTTTCTATATGTAAGAGTCTATGTTTTGTCCCCCTCCCTGTTTTTATATTATTTTTCCTTCCCTTCCCTTATGCTCATCTATTTTTTATCTTAAATTCCACATATGATTGAGTCATATGATATTTGTCTTTCTGTAATTTTGCTTAGCATAATACACTCTAGTTCCATCCATGTTGTTGTATATGGTAAGATTTCATTCTTTTTTATTGCTGAGTAGTAATATATATATTTATATATATATAATATTTTATTATTTTTTATATATAATTTTATATATATACACCACATCTTCTTTATCCATTCATCTGTTGATGGATAGCACACTGCTATAAACATTGGGGTGCATGTGCCCCTTTGAAACAGCACAGCTGTATCCTTTGGATAAATACCTAGTAGTGCAATTGCTGAGTCGGAGGGTAGTTCTATTATTAATTTTTTGTGAAACCTCCATACTGTTTTCCAGAGTGGCTGCACCAGTTTGCATTCCCATCAGCAGTGCAAAAGGGTTCCTCTTTATCTACATCCTCACCAACTTCTGTCATTGTCTGAGTTGTTAATTTTAGCCATTCTGACTGGTGTGAGGTGGTATCTCATTGTCGACATTTACGTAATGTTAAACATTTAGGTTTTCTTTTACACATACGCACGTATATACGTGCACCTATAATTTGCAGTGAACCATGCTAATGAGAAATTTAGAGTGCATCTCTCATTTTCTTTGAAGAGTCATAACCTCCACTGTAGTCTGTGTCTTACAATTTCTCCTGCAAAATTCATTTTTACCTGTCTTCCTTAGTAAGAAGAATACCAGTATTATAGCTGGGTATTGTTACCAATGTTGGAGACTACATTTCCTATCCTCCCAAATGGTTAGGCGTGGCCAAAAGACAAAGCTATGGTTTATAAGCTGTAGGCTGAAATAAAGCATGAGAGTTAGAAGGGAGCAGGGTGGGCATTTTTTCCCTTTCCTTCTTTCTGCTGCCTGCAATGTGGATCTATTAGTATTAGCTAGAGTGCCCATAGTCCTCTTGGAGTATGAGGCAACTTGGAATAGAAACAACATGTGGTAGAGCAAAAAGATGGAAGGAACTTGATCCCCAATATTTGGAGCTGTCACATCAGCTTTTGATGTCTATTTCTGGACATTTATATGGGGGAAAATTTTCTTCCTATTTTTCCTCTTGTTTAAAAAAGTCATTATATTATTATTACTTAAATACATTTTTTTTTTTTTTTTTTGGCTTGGGAAGAGTATGACCTAATCCTACCTGATAAGGGATACCATTGTTTAATACTCTATGTAGACAGTAGGTCAAATATAAGGAAACATGCATTGTATCATGGTAGATTCTAGATCTATGCTGTGAACAAAAGTCTACTTGGAGACTGGAGAGAGATTAATTGATGTTGAAAGGAGAATACTTAAAATGATACATGATTTCTGGATTTTTTTGATGACAGTATTATTGGATTTTGTTCTCAAGTGCTTTTAATAATTATTGCACATACGGTTTCAGAAAACACTAGAGGTAGCGTTTACACAAAAACAAACAGAAAACCCCAAACAAACCCAAAACAAAAGTAGCTGAAAAAATCAACCACAAACAGTTGCAGATTATATACTATATTGTATCAGAATAATTCCTTCACGTCCTATGATTTTTAATATTATTAAATATATTGGCTAGTCACTTTGACAAAGTCAGCTCATAAATGTGACTTTTAATGTTCTCATATTAACATTATTGGAAAAATTTTGATAAATGAAAAATTAAAAAAATTTTTATTACTGTAGACTTTTTTTAGTATTGATTCTAATAAAGTATTCATAAATTTAGTGAAATAAATGACACACACTTAAAAAGTTAAAAAACTTTTTTTTTTTTTAAGAGCACGAGTAGGGGAGAGGGGCATAGGGAGAGAGTGACAGTTTTTTTGTGTGTTTATTTATTTAGAGACAGAGAACGTGAGCAGAGGAGGGGCAGAGAGAAAGAGAGGGAGAGAGAGAATCCCAAGCAGGCTCCATGCTGTCCACACAGAGCCAGATGCAGGGCTCGAACTCACAAACTGTGAGATCATGACCTGAGCTGAAATATAGTCAGACACTCAACTGACTGAGCCACCCATGTGCCCCTGAGAGAGAGAGACAGAGAGAGAGAGAGAGAGAGAGAGAGAGAGAGAGAGAGAGAATATGTTAAGCAGGCTGCATGCTAGGTGTGGAGCCTGAGGTGGGGCTTGATCCCCTAGGATCATGACCTGAGCCGAAATCAAGGGTTGGACGCTCAACCAACTGAGCCACCCAGGTGCCCCAATAAACTTTTTTTTTGAGCAGTTTCAGTTTTACAGAAAAACTGAGCAGAAACTACAGAGTTCCCATATATCTTTTTATTCTTTGAAGGATATAAATTTTTTTCCCAAGGTATTCCACTATATACAATGTTATACACATAACAACTTTACATCTCTGAACCGAATACGTACTATAAGAGGAAAACCATATACTGCTAAAAATCATTTTACTCTAACCTAAGGTTTCTCATCAGCACTATTAACATTTCAGGCCAGATAATTCTTGGGGGCGGGGGGTGTCTCTTCTGTGCATTGTGTTTATTAGCAGCATCCCTGATCTCTGCCCATTAGATGCCAATAATACCAGTCGTGACCACCAAAAATGTATCCAAACATTGCCAATGTTCCTTGGGAGGCACATTGTTCTCCAGTTGAGAACCACTGCTCTAACCAATTTGTGATATTTTAGGATTTGCTTTTTTTTTTTAGGTGGGGGTCAGATTTAAGGGGCCTTTAGTTCAAGCAGTTGTGTAGAGAGAGTTAGAATCTTCCCTTCCACTTGGGGGCATAGGCAGTATAATAGTTTTACTGAGCTTCAGTTTCCTTAACTGTGAATAGGTAAAATATTACCTAACTGAAAGGTTGTTTCGATAGTTGATTGAGATACATTATATAAAAAACTTTGGTTAATTTTAAATGTTATGCTATCTTGTTTGAGTTTATTCTTTGGAATGTATAGAAAACCCATTTCAGAGTTCTTATTTCTGTGGGCAAGGCTATCATAGTTTGGGATCTTCTATTTATGGACTTCAAGAGTATTATTACCGTGGGTAGACAAAAACTTTAAATGTTCAGCGAAAACTCATTTATGAGGTCAGTTGTGTTTTGACTCTTTGTGGTGCTCTAATTAGATTGTCACTATATTCAAATGTAGTAGTTAAGTGATCTCCTGTATTCTTTCAACGACTTTGAGCTTCTCAAATTGAGGATAGCCAATCACATTGTCCTTCAAAGTTTTTGTCCTCATATCTGAAATCCTGCCAATTGTGACAGCTGGTGTGTCAGCTCCAATAGAGGAAGCTAGCCTCTGTCAGCATGTACTTGGTCCACTAAAGACTTCTAAAAACTTTGCACAGTTTACAACAAATGTCCACTTCTCATTGCTACTTTGTAGAATTATAAAACCTTGTTCATTAGTGATGAAATCTTATCTGTAATAATTAAGCTTATTCTTATTGTTCTACCTCTGCAGAAAATTTGCAAAGACTTTGAGAAGACAGGAAAATTATCAGAAAGACAGCGCCATTATACTGTAAGTATTGGTTTGAAAAACAAATGTAAGTTAAGAATATTTTAAGTATCCAGTTGTTCCAGGGGAAAATATGTTAGGCAAAGATATTATATGTAAAATATAGAGCAGGATATATTATAATCTTATTAATAATTTATAAGAACTAATCCAATGCAGTCTTTTAAAAATTGAAAATGTGTTTTTATGTATTCAGATGAGGATTTTACCAATACCATTGAAAAATATTTCTAATTCTAACAAGGATTGATCTAGTTTATGTACATTTGCTTATTTAAAACTATCAGAATCCAGAAAATCATTGTAGTTTTGTAGGCTTGTGATTTGTTTGGGTGACTTATTGTTTAGGTTATTTTGCAGAATTATTTATTTGCTGATTTATTTATGTATTTCATTATTTATTTATTTGATTATTTAGTAAATTATTTATCTGATGAATTATTAATACATCTTCATGACATGCTTTAAATTATTTATAACTTAATTTTGAGTTTATTGCTTTTAGAGGCTGCATTGTTACTGACTAGTTTTGATTTTTTTCTTTGCGGTTCTTTAAAATTAAAGTATTAGCTCTAAGGCAAAAGTGTATTCATTGCAATGGCCATGGGTTTTTCTTTCTTTTTTTAAGTAATTTATGGTAGAGATGAAATTCCAGTTATGCTTTGTTTAGCTCTAAATTTACCTGTTTAGGATTACTGATGATAGAATGTTTATGTGTTGTGTACATACTCATTGTAGAGTCACTTACAAATTAATGATATAGCCTATAGTATGTAAACTGAGATTGAACATGTAAACCTCAGTCCACATTATCCTTTGTATCTCTAAAGGACAGGTCTGCATTTCTTACTTGCTTTAGAATCCTGAATAGAGTCTTATTTTATTTTAGTGGCAAATCTATTTTACTCCTGGGATATTTTTAGGAAAGTTCAGAGAAATGAAGTCCAACTTAGATTTGGATCCCTGAGATAAAATTTGACCGATGAAGCCTTTGTTTTTTTAAGTTATCATTATATGTATATTTGGCAAACCGCATGATGTTGGTATAGATTTTTATATCAGTCATAATGACATATTTATTTCATATCATATCTCTTAATGGAAAGTTTTATACCACTTTATTTTAATGAACTAAAATGGACAAGGGCCTTTATAAATGCAAGCTATAATTTCTCTGACTTGAGCTAATAATTCTCTTTTGTAAAGTTTCTATTTTTAACCAGATAAGGTATTTCTTCTTTTGTCTGATTCTATTTCATAAGGTAGTGCAGTTATTAGGGCTCTCTTATTGAATAGGTTTAATGAATAGGTTAAGTAGTTGTTTGGGTAAAACAGTGTTGTGTGCAGAACTAGGTCTTCTGTGTTTGCTTGTAGTGAACTACTGTGTACTTTACAATTTTAACATTTCAGAGAGAGGCAGCATTGTACACTTCAAGTTAGAATTTCTTATTTTGAAATATTGAGTATATGAATGTTTAATTGGAATATTGCCTTAGTATCTTCATATACTTGTCTTAAAGGAAGTGGTTTCATTTGATTTCTATACATGGATTTAAAAATGTGAGGCACCTGGGTGGCTCAGTTGGCTGAGCGACCGACTTCAGCTCAGGTCACAATCTCAAGGTTTGTGAGTTTGAGCCCCGCGTCGGGCTCTGTGCTGACAGCTTGGAGCCTGGAGCCTGCTTCGGATTCTGTGTCTCCGTCTCTGCCCCTCCCCCACTCATGCTCTGTCTCTCTCTGTCTCAGAAATAAATAAACATTTAAAAAAAAATTTAAAAAAATGTGCGTATTATACATATCCGTGACTTCTGTTTTGGAGATGAACAACCACAAACACTGTCAGATACGGAATTTTATTTCAAAATGCACTTCAGTATGCCACTGTGGACTTCTTTTGAAGAAGAAAGCCACCTTCTCCAATGTTGAATAAGATCTACTATGTGAGTTATCATGACAATATTCCCAGCCACACTGTTAATACTTATTTGTGGAGTATTAGCTGTGTTACCAAGTGGTCTTCATTGGAAAATAAACATGTGTGTGCACACACATGCACACACATGGGAAGTTTTCTCCTGACATCAAAATAATTTTTTAGGATTTGTTTTTATAAGGAGACATTAATGGAGATTGTCATAATAATAGCTAGCATTTATTGAGCACTTATGTGCAGGTACAGTGCTTATATCTTTTACATGGATTTTTTGTTTTTCACAGTGAGATAAGTACAGTTATTGTCTTCATTTTATGAATGAGGAAACAGAGACTTGGAGGTGTCAAGTAACTTGCTCATTGCCACCTACCTGGCAATAAGTGTTGGTGCTGGGATTAGGACTCACTGAGTCTGACTCTTCAGGGTCTTTCTTAGCCCATTACAGTTTGCTTGTATAGTTGGTATTAAGCAGGTTTTTTTGTGGCGTGTGTTTTTTTTTTTTTTTTTGACTTGTTTTTGAGAATGTAGTTATTTATCTCTGATAGGTTTAACTTGCTAAGTATATTCATTTTGTGTTACACTTGGACATCTTTTTTATTTAAAAAAAATTTTTTTTAATGTTTACTTATTTTTGAGAGAGAGAGTGTGCACGTGCAAGCACGTGTGAGCAGGGGAGGGGCAGAGGGAGAGGGAGACAGTGAATCCAAAACAGGCTCCAGGCTCTGAGAACACTTGGACATCTTTTTTAAACAGGAGGAAGAACTTGAGCTTCTTGAATTTTCTGATTTGATTCTTCTTGTAATCCTGTATAGTGGACCAGAATTATGTAAAGAAGAATTTGTGCCTCAGGGAGATTGTATGGTTTACCTTGTAGATGTCCAACACTCAGATCTTTTTGACTTTAAGCCCAAGGCCATTTCCAGGGCTCTCTTAGGTCAAATTGGATTTCTTTATTAAAAAAATGGTATTGTCAGGGTTAGATACACATATATTGTTGAAAGAATGATTAAGAGTCTGATGTGTAAGCTTTTATAAGAATGACCACAAACGTACTATTAAATTAACTCTAAATATAGTGTTTTATATACAGTTAAGCATTTTAACATGTACATAAAAAGAATGAGAAAATAACCAATTGTGATTTTAAACACTTAAATGTAATTATTTAAAAGATTCTACAGAGCCTCCAGGAGAAGGGAAAAATGTTGTCAATTTGGTGTGAGACTAAGAGAACAGGATCTTTCTAACTCTATTTGCTACCTGAAAACAAAGGGCAGTCTTTCTCACCTTGGGTCTGAAGCACACAAAGAACATCAGAAAGCGGATGAGCTAGAGTTAGGTAGCAGTAGAGTTTGGGTGATGTTGGTATGAGTGCCCCAAGTAGCTGCATTTGTATGAACAGCAGGGTACTGTGTGAATCACTCAAAGTTTTAAGTTAGGGTTTTCAAATAAATAATTAATATGACATCATAAAATGCCCCAAACCTATGAGTTAGTTAATATGAAATACTGTAATAGCTAGGATGACCATATAATTTATCTTCCAATTTAGGACACGCCATTACTAGTGTGGTAGTAATATCTCACATGCCTATTGAGTAATTCCTAATAGCCTTATATAACATATATTTAACAGGAATCTTAATTCACATACACTATCTTTAAAAATGTTTGATTTTATGGTAAAACTTCTTTTGCTAGTATTTATGTTTTTGTTAGCTATACACAGCAGTTTGTGGCTATGACTTTTATAAAGTGTGACTGATGATGTTTCACAGCTTATGGAGCCTATTTTCAAGGTGAAAGTAAAGAGGTGTTGCTGTTGGGAACAGAAAGATGAGGATAGCAAAGTTGCTCATGGTATAGTAGAGAGTTCTAAAGGTTCTCTTGATGTCATACATTACAGGATATTCTATGATCATTTTGCCTTGTAAATCTTTTAATTGGTGGCATATTTAACGTTGTACTGAAAATGAATTCTATTTGTTACACCTTCAGAATTTATAATTTTATGTTTGATGATCCAATGGTTCCCGGCCGCCTCCCCCCCCCCCCCCCAAAAAAAAAAGCCCCACCATGTTACATGTCATATATATTGATATGTTGGCAGTTTGGCCAAAATATCTTTCAACGTTTATTTATTTTTGGGACAGAGAGAGACAGAGCATGAACGGGGGAGGGGCAGAGAGAGAGGGAGACACAGAATCAGAAACAGGCTCCAGGGTCTGAGCCATCAGCCCAGAGCCTGACGCGGGGCTCGAACTCACGGACCGCGAGATCGTGACCTGGCTGAAGTCGGACGCTTAACCGACTGCGCCACCCAGGCGCCCCTGGCCAAAATATCTTTGAAAACCACTGTTTTTTTCCTTAGTGAAATGTTGTATAGGAAAATAGGAATCTCTAGAAAAGGGTGGTTTTTTGTAGTTTTCTTTTTAATTCCCTATTGACAGATATTTATCTAAAATGGCATATTACATTATTAAAGTCATAACTAGATTATTAAAAGTTCCAGTTTATTTGCATTTATAGATGATTTGTTAAGTTGAACCAGGTAACCACACTGGCATATTTGTGTTTGAATATGTAGTTAAAAAAAAATTCTTGTGCAATAATTCTTACTCATTCATATGTATAATATTAGAACCCTTTTCATTCAGAAAAGCCTATTATGCCTCGTAACAAAGGAGGGGCTTCCTTATATTCTGCCTTGAGTTTGCCACAGTATAAAGTACTTTGTAAAATACTACTGTAGTTCTAAGAGTAATAATATAACTTCTGTGTTGGCTCTGAGAGAAGCTCCTTTATAATTGTGACAAGTGAAAGTACAGCCAAAGGTCACGTTGAACACAAAATTTCTTTCACACCTCGTCCGTTTTGTGGATAGCATGTGAAGTAGTGTGGGTCCCTGCACTGATATTTTAAGAGAGCAACCCAAGGTTGTTCCCGTGGAAATGTTTCAAATACCTTTCTCCCTAACCTCCCATGCGGTTGCTAAATTTGGCATGAATGTATATTTGAATCCTGGACTAATTAAATGGAACCTTATTAAATTTAGAGTTTGCAAAATAAA